AAGGTAATAATAAGTAAAATATAAGGTTAACTTTTTAAGGTCACCATGCAATTTCAGTTACTTTTTAATTTGTCCTAGTCATTATTATCAAAATGTTTAATATTTGAGATATCGTAACTTGTAAGCTTGGATACCAAACTTGATAATTTGGTTAGTAAAAAGATGTCTACTAACCCGAAGGGTTAGTGATCTAAAAATTAAATTCGAGCCCTGGATACCTTTTAATTGAGCAATAGAATGCATTTTCAATGGGTTTACGGACGTAATAACCCACATAGGATGTTGGGAGAATACAACATGAACAAAAATTAATCATGAACACATCTTCAACAAATCATGAACCAGATATTTATATTGTCACGGGTTGTCACAGCCGAAAAAGATCTAGGTATTATGATTGCAAATGACACCTCTTGGAAAGACCACTTAGTCATGATTGTAGCTAAAGTTAATAGAATGCTTGGTTTTCTCAAAAGGAACTGCGCAGGTATTGTTGGTAGTACGGTGCTTTTGCGTCTTTACTGCTCTTTAGTGCGCTCTCATTTTTGTTTTTGCTCTCAGTTATGGGCCCCTCAGTCAAGTACCAGCAACTTAATCCTTGTTGAAAACATACAAAGGAGAGCTACTCGATTTATCTTAATGAATAGTAACCTAAGTTATAAGACTCATTTAATCAAGCTTAAGTTATCACTGCTAAGTTACTGGTTAGAATATCTTGACTTATTCTTCTTTTTTGTGTGCCCTCATGGGCTTATAGATTTTACTCATAAATTTAGTTATTATTTTTCTTTTCTAAAGGACAACATGCACTGTGCTTCATCAGGGCTGCATTTAAAGTAAAATGCCTGTTGTACGTCTTCCTTTCGAGACTTTTACTTCAACAAAATAGCTTTGATCTGGAACAGTTTACCCATAAATATCAAGGATTCAGACACTTAAAGCTCTTTCAAAAGTAAACTCAAGTCGTTTTATTTTACTAGACTTTTGAATGCTTTTGATGGTGAAAATTTTTGTTCTTTCAAATTAATTTGTCCTAAGTGTCACCGTGTAAATACTTCTGTCTGTCTTTGTCGAGTTAAGTTGTAAATTTGTATACTTTAGAATGTTTCTGGGCGATTTAAATTATTTGAATTGTAGTCAGTCAGATCAAAGAAGGGATCTTTTTTGGGGATATTTCTTTCCGGGATACTTTTTTTACGGGGCTGGGAGTGGGTGTATTAACCAAGTAGGGAACTTATGTCCTATTGTTATGCACCTGTATTTGTACATGTACGAATCCATTAAAGAAAGAAAATTGTAAAAACCAGCTGATTAGCGCTTATGATATGTGCATTTTCCCATTGATGTAGCGGAGTTTTTTTCTCTTGCCGTCTCCAGGAAAAAGAGTATAAAGCCTCAAACTCGCGCTTAATTGCGTCAAATTCTTCAAATGCTGTTGAACCAGAGAAAAAAGAAAGGCTTACGAAAGATGAAATTTTACGTTACAGCAGACAGCTTATCTTACCCGAGATTGGCGTGAAAGGTATGCTGTTGGATGAAACTGTTTTCTTTTTTTTTTTGTTTTTTTTTTTCTCTGTTTTGCCTGCTTTTCTTTGGAGAAAGAGCAAAGAAAGAAGACTACTTCCTTAGTTGTGACAATTTTATCCTCACCCCCTCCCTCCCCTTCAGAAACTTCTGGGTGACTAAGTCATTAATTTCGCTTTTCTTCTTTTTTTCTGACCTTGTTCTTCAGGACAGATAAAGTTATGTAATGCTTCAGTGCTGGTTGTTGGAGCTGGAGGTCTTGGATGCCCTGTGGCACAGTATTTAGCTGCTGCTGGAGTGGGTATGACATTCAGTAAATTAAGATGTTAGGGAGTTTGATGGAGTAGGAGAAAGAATTAGGAAAATTCATTACTCGACAAGGGAATTCCACACTAAATTGCATGCGAACATGAATATTGCATGAATAGGAAGGTGATAAGTGCAATATTGGTTTACAAGTGCAATTTAAATCACGAATCAAGTAATGGATTTTCCCTGAATCACATAATTGAATAAAAACAACAACAAAATGAAAACAACATTACTTAAAGTTGTTATGTATACGAAGATGCGAAACAATATCACTCATTTTCAACTCACAATTCCACACTAGATACATAGCTTTGTTAACCAACCAGAATGCAAGAATTTATTTAGTAATGCAATTCAAGGGATAACACTTCGGCTTATACCCATGAGTTAAAAAGAAATACCCTTTTAATGACTTACTTCTGATCTTGGTGCAGATTACTCTTTTTTGAAGGTGCAATTTCAGTCCTTGCACTTATCTCCAAACTATTCCTATTACATAATACCAAAACATCATCTTATTGGCTGTCAAATGAGGCATAATTGGTCATCAAACTGTAACGTTTCAGCATCACATGTTCTTGCTTTTATGCAAGCAATTGTATTTCCCTTGTTGTCAAACTTATTGCCATACAAAGTCTGACCAAAAAACAAATCAAAATAATATTTTGAACTACAATCAGCATCAAAATTAGTTGACACATCATACCAGAAGAGCTCTATTTATGCAATTATTATATGGCTGTGTCTCACAAGGACTGGGTACTACCAAATTCCTGAATTGGATTGGCGAAAATCAATATTGAAAGCAGTCTAGATTTTCCCATCTAGACCGGCATCTAGACCTGTCTAGAAAAAAAGTTACAAAGAATAAAATATTCCATTGCTTTCTAGACACAGCCATATGATAAACATCTTGTTAACCGAGCTAGGTCGGTCTGTAAGGGAGAATCTTGACCTTGGTCGCTGCTACAGACCTCACTGCATTCGGTTTGTACTGGCGACCTCGGTCAAGATTCTCCCATAGAGACCTCCCGCTCGGTTAATAAGAATTAAAGAATAACATTCTTTTTTCTACCACACTATAAATCATTAACAGCCCCCCCACCCCCTCTTACATTCAATGTTGGCTAAAAGTTCATGGAACCACATTGTTTCTTGGGAGGGGGGGAAGAAGAAGAGGGTGAGTAAGTTGACTTAACGAGGGCAGATGGATAAAATTGAAGTAAGGTTGAAAAGATCAATGTGTCAACAATTTTGTTCCTGATTATAGATCTTAAAATGAATGGCCTCTTTTTCGTGTGTAAACTAAACCTACTTATCTACCAATACTCATGGTCTTAAGTTAATTGCTACCTTTCTATAATCAAGAAATGGATAGATATTCTAATCTTTTTGGATAAAGACCAATAAACCGTAAGTCCCGTCTCCTGCAGGGTTAGGGGTAGGAGACGTTAATTTCTCACGCATGAGAATAATGTGTTGTGGATGTCCTCCCCTGGGCTGGGATGGGTGGGAATTAGCCCTGAAAAGCCCCCATGGGGAGTGGTCAACTAACATATGTATGTACTTATTTTGTGTAGGACACATTGGTACTGTGGACTATGATACAGTTGAGATAAGCAATCTACACAGACAAGTGCTTCATACAGAGAGTAGAGTAAATATCTCAAAGGCAGAATCTATAAAGATACAAATTCACCAGTAAGTAAATTTGACATCTAAACAACAAATAAAATAATTATGATAAGGAATTTGTTGTCATTTACACATCATCAAGCATTCCATTATGGGAAAATCCAAATTTTATTGTTACAGTTTCAATACAGTATCAAGTATAGATGAGTGATGAGAATAAAGAAAAATATTTAGTTGATCCAATACCAAACTCTCCTAATGAACATCATAAGAACTGTATGGCAAATATTAAGAACACATCCCCATTTAAAAATGTACTTCACCATTTTAAAATGTACTTGACATTTCAGGTATCTTAGTTCCTGAATGAGCCAATCAGATCTCAAATGCATTTTTCATAAGTTCTCTGGGAACTAAGTTCCTGTGTCAACCAATCATAGTTGGTTTGTAATATGGACTTTGCTCTTTAGGAACTAAGTTCCTCACTAAACCAATGACATGGAAGAATACATGACGTGACATTTCTAAATTAAGGTTCACCTGTTTTATTTATGTCTTGT